TGTGGATTTGAACTTATTACATTATTGTCTGATGGAATGGGACGAAATTATTGACGAGCAGCAGGCACACTATCGAAATATGTACAATTGTAGACGGTAGACGATCTAACATGAATCAGCGTCAGGTAACGCGTCAGAATTGTTCAGCTGCCAAGTAAAGAACCCGATAATTCATTGACGTGCAGGCAGTGATTGATTCGCGGTATAATTTTTGGCTTTCACTGTATAAATTTATTTCCAGACAAAAAAGCTCGGCCACAAAACAACTAAACACGCAATTGTTTTACTTATCTAGTTTTCCTCGATCGAGTTAAATCTAGCATTCACCCAGGCGGCGACTCGAAATGGAAATAATTAGCTTTAATCCAACCAGCAAGAAGTAGGAAAGAAGGGGAAAAATAATTCGTCTGCTTTCTAAGAGTTTTTGTTCGAGCGGGAAAATCTATGGAAGCTCGAAAGGAACACTATTATTGCTACTGCTTCTGTTTTGAAATTAGCGAACAATCTTGACGCGGAAAATAGAGACTAACGTGAATTGAACATTAATGTCCGATCACAATGACTGTTCCTGCTAAAAAAAAAAAAGGACAATAGAAAAATGTCTGCCATTGATTGATAGTAATCACATCTCGCAAACTGTTGCCAGTTAAAAGAGTTTGATTTAAATAGAATATTCGACTATCTCCGATCGAACCGAGAACTTTTCACCAATGGCGATGAACGGATGTTTCCTCAGGGTGGCCCCGCACCCAGGCCTGAAGTGGGACTCAAAATGCATCGCTAAAGAGGTTGGAAAAATGGTCCGTTCCCTGTACCGCTCCAATAAGTACCTGACTCCTCGCGCTATCCTCTACCCAGGCCGAAAATGGATTACTATTGTCATATATTACCACTCGCGTCTCCGTGTCCTTGTGGGTAACGAATTATTTTCCACCCTACAGCCATTCTCGCACAGGCGGGGCGTCGCAAGCTTCTCGCTGCTCTATCGTTATTTCCATGGAAAGTGCTCAGATGAACTACACTCCTTAGTTCCACCAGTCATAACTTTCACGGCTAGGACCCGCCACTCTACACATGGTGTAGCAAATCGCCGTCTTCCCTTTCGTATCCCATTAGTGAGATAAGCTCTACTCGAGCAACTTCTTCCCACGAACCCCTGCCTTACTTTCCTCTATGGTACCTAGACTATGAATTAAAGTGCAGTATGAGACTGGTGGCGAGATTTCATCATTTTACGGTTGAAATGCCTAAATGGAACCGGCAAGTTCTTGCTTTCCAGTCAACTTTTCATCTTTAACTGCAACTTCTCGGTGTTTCTATTAACAAACCCTTTAAGATTTTAATGCAACAGAAAGATTTTGATACGACCTCTACTGGACGAAGGAAAAGACAAAGGCTTCTCAGGTGTGTATGTCGGTGAAGAACTGATATAGCGGTTAAGTCATTTATGAAGTGTAGTATCAGTAACGCAATAGATGGGACAGACGATGACATTCCCTTTAATCATAATATTAGATCCAATGATGAAATATCTGTTTCTTTTACAAGTGACAATGAAAGCGATGAGGATTTTGTAGATGTTGAACCAAACTAAATAACCATAAACCTTTTTTTTTTATTATTTACACTATTTTCTGATTTTGAAATTTTCAGTTCTTGTGTTTATAACAATATAGACTAATTTTTAAGGTACCAGATTGAAGCGTTTTCAAATGCGATATTTAAAATATAAGGGACACCAATATATACTTGTAAAATCTTGGTTTCTCTTATATTTTTGTCACCATAATTTTAAGTACTGTATTTTTTCTGTCTATAAGACGCATCCTTATTTTGAAAAATAAGTTTTTCGGGGAAAAAAAAAAGGTTAGTTGTATTAAATATTCTGAGTGTCTCTGAAGAAAATAAACTATATTTCACAAGAATCGTTAGTATAATAAGGTTTTCCAAACTCAAACTTTGAATTTTCTATTATACTTTGCGACCATGCAAAGTAGAGAAATTATGCACTTTTTGATTAGGGCGTGGTCATGTTGATAGTTATTTAGTGAGTGAGTGTCTCGATTTTGCTTATCAGCAGAATACAGAGGCCATTTATTTTTCTTTGGGGCGGACGGGTCCTACTATTATGTGTTTCCTTTAGTGTGACTATTTTGTTTTTATTTTAGTTATTGGGATCATCCAGCCCTCACCCACCAATTTCATGATAGATAATTCTATTTATTTTTGTATAAGGAAAAACAAGAAAATAAAAATGGTAAATATCCGTATCTTGGGGTTTTAATAGGTTCCCCTGTGAGTCTGTGGTATTTTAGTAAATATAGGACTGAGTGAAGAAGGCTGTGTTCTTGTGGTGAATGAGTAAATTGTAACAAATGAATGGGTCACGAATCAGATTAACAAGTGTTAGGATAGTTACGACCAGCCTCACACCATTTTCCTTCAGCCTTGCACCAAAATTGGATGTAAAAATTTTTTATATATATATATATATATATATATATATATATACACTATGACAATTTCTCGGACATTCAGGCCGGTAAATGTTAATACTGTTTATTATAAACAGAGCATTTACTTAAATATTTGTATCTATAAAAAGAATGTATAAACATAAAAATGTCTAATATATATATATATATATATATATAGTGTGAAACCCGGATATAAGAGAGATTTTCTTGGTCCCAAATTAGAGCCTGTGTTAATGTATATAAAATAGACCAAACCCGGATATAAGAGACTTCTTCTCCGGTCCCGACAACTCTCTTATATCCGGGTTACACTTATATATATATATATATATATATATATATATATATATATATAGTAAACTGGCTATGGGTTAATTAGTAAGACTTGTATCACTAAAGTAAACCATTAATATCTAAAAAAAAAAAAAAAAAAAAAGAAAACAAAACACTTCTTACAATGTAAAAATATTTTCTGGCTTTAAATAACCTGTAAAGGGTTGACAAGTCGTAGAAAACGAATCATTTATTCAATCAATTCATTGACCGAGAAGTCACTGCTACTCTAACCAGGATTCGTGTTGAGCGTGATTCGTCATTGCCATGACAATGTTTTGGATTACATTAAAAGTTTTTTGTTTAACTGGGAATTTGATAAGTTTTTTTGCCTTTCTTCATTTTCGATTTGACTTGTTTGTATTATTTTCACAGTGCTATAAATTGTTTTATTTTCCTTTCTTGTTAAGTTATTTTAATTTTCTTTCTCCACCCCCTCACACATAATTGTCAGCTTCGGACGAACTATTTCCTTTATTTTTTTTTTTTTTTCGTCTAACCTTTTAATTAAACTAGATTTATTCATTTTTTAAAACCATTTACTTTTATTTTGCAGTTTACAAAGGGATTTTTTCGATTTAAAGTTTTTGTTTATGTATTCAGTTGAATTCTTTTCGTTTTGCAGTATTTCTTTTTTTTTTTCAACTCTAACCGTATTGTTACGCCAGGGTTTACTTGATTGAATTTTATTTATTTTCTGTACGAGTAAATTTTTCTTTTTCTGAATTATTTCACCTGATGCAAGGCAATAAAGCCATTAAGATACAAGGCGTTACTGAGTGTGAAACAACAATAAAAAGAAAAGAGAAACTTTATTAAGGAGCGAGAATAGATGAGTAATCAGGAAGACAGTAGATAACGATTGACATTGCATTTAAATTTTTGAAGGTCAAAGTTGAGTGGAAAGCATGGAACAGGAAGAGTTCGACAAGCGAGAAAAAGAAACTGTTAGCATAGAACTAAAGTTACATCTAACAATTTTAAATGATGAGACCATGCCGGAGACAACAAAACCTCTGTGTTTGCTGGTACTCTGCTAGTCGACTTCTCTGCCTCCGGGCAGAGAGGTACCCAGACAATGTTCTGCCGAAGAACAGACTCGTTTAGGGAGGTAGACAGATATCAGACCCCGTCAATACGGGATCTACGGGTAATTTTTGTCCGAGCCTACGGACTGCTGACTTTAGCCAAAGACCCAACGAAAATAGATTAGCAGCACAGACAGCATATGAAGCTCAAGTATCTCACGTTATCAAATTGGGAGATGAGGACAATAGTCCGTATGATGTAAATAGTGTGCATAATACCTCATCTCAGAAATATAGACAGTTTTCGTATATATTTCAATGCAGTTGTTGAAAATCAGTCCCAGCAACGGAACAAACACGGGCAGCTGCACATTTACATCTAATCCCGGAGTCTTGTCGCGGTCAACAAACTTGGCCCCGAGTAGACTTGTGCTATGAAGAGTAAGACTATTCAAGACAACCTTCATTTGGTACGCATGATCTTTGGTAAGCCGACAGTAAAGCTGCCTTGGACCAGTCCAAGGAATTCGATAGGGTTGACCATCGCTTTCTGGATGCTTTACTCGTGAAAGCTGGTTTCGAATCGTACTTTCGATCTTGGATTTTAATTTTTTTCATGCGACCCCCGGTGCGCTGATGGAAATGAATGGAGTAAGATCAAAACATTTCGTATTGTTTCGTTCCATTTTTCGATGTCGTCAGCTCTCGCCTTTGCGAGGGGGCCTTTCCTTCGTAAGTTAAAAGACGAATCCGGTCCTAAGCGGAATCATGTTACTTCGTTCTACTGTGCTTGTTACGATCAATTCCAAGAGTGACGAAAATCAGCAGAAAATCAGAGGGTACAAGACGGTGACAGTGGTCAAGATCAGCCGTGATAAATCTGTTGGTTTGCTGTTGGGAGCCTGGAAGATTAGTTTCTCTGCCCGTATCTGTCCTCTGGACGGACGGACATTGCAAGATAATCAGCATCTGTTTTGGTCCTGACTTACAGTTAGAAATGAACTGGCCCGAGGTTCTGCAGAATGCCGTGCCCGCAATTCGTCTCTGGTCTCAGAGACTTTTTTTCCTTAATTCTCGTTATTTCTATAGTTTGCTTCTCTTTTCTTTAATTTCCTTTCCTTCCCCCCTTTCCTTCCCCACTTCCCTCCCGTTATTTCTATAGTTTGCTTCTCTTTTCTTTAATTTCCTTTCCTTCCCCCCACTTCCCTCCCGTTATTTCTATAGTTTGCTTCTCTTTTCTTTAATTTCCTTTCCTTCCCCCCCACTTCCCTCCCGTTATTTCTATAGTTTGCTTCTCTTTTCTTTAATTTCCTTTCCTTCCCCCCACTTCCCTCCCGTTATTTCTATAGTTTGCTTCTCTACCCCCCTCTTCTTTTTCTTTATCCTCCTTTGCCTCCCTCTCGATCTTTGTATAGTTTGCTTCTCCCCTTTCCAACTTTCTCTCGCTTCTCCCATTCTTTGTAGAGTAGGGTGGTCTAGGTATGCCTAGCGTTGACAACCATCACCATACCTTTCCTACACTGGATGTGCACGCAATCGGAAGGTAAAGGCGAATTCTGGAAAGAAGACGCTCGTAAGAACTTCCCATCCCCGGGGTGAGGGCTCCTTTCGTCGTGAACGTAGCAATGCATTCAGGTATTTCTTACGCGCAACGGATGGCCACTCCGACGTACAGCCGTTGTCCCGGGAAAGCAGTATATCCTGTGCAATAGGTGTCCGGAATGAAATGCGTCACAAACTGTTATTCTCCTTGCTGATGATGGCGCGAACGGCCCTCTGGGTGGGCAAGAAACTTTGTTCAGCGGGATGAGAAATTTCGCCAGAGTGTATTTGCTACGTTGTGTGGGAGGGAAAGCATCGAACATGCCTTCTTCAACTGCAATGTCGTACGCACATTGTGGAGGTTGATTGAAAACGACATTGTTCACATGCTGCGCGGAAAGTTCTTCATTTTCGAAGCTAGTTCCATCTGTAGCAATGTGGTACCGCCGTTGACTAAGGCTGAACACTACGTATTCTTTTGTTTACTAAGAGACACGTGAGTTGTGATGTGGACAAGCTGACTGATAAACTTCTCATCCCCCGTGGAATTCTATCTCGTGTTTTTTCATTGTTAGCTTAAAGTCAAAATCATGACGGAAAGGCGGCAACTTCCTGTTCTTTTCTTTCTCCATCTTCTTTTCTTTCCTTCCCTTCCTTTCTTCTTTCCTTCCTTTCCTCTTTCCTTCCTTCCTTTCTTCTTTCCTTTCCTTTTTCCTTCCCTTCCTTTCTTCTTTTCTTTCCTTTCCTTCCTTCTTTCCTTTCCTTCCTTCCCTTCTTTCCTTTCTTTTCTTCCTTTTTCATCTTCCTTTTCTTTCTTTTTTCTTTCTTCATCTTCCTTTTCTTTCTTTCTTAATCATTTCATACCAAGAAAGACATCAATGCCACTAGATCACAGTGGGTGACAGGAAGTGAAAGTGAAAGAAAATGAGAAAACTGAAGAATTGAGGAAAGACCAAAAAAGGAACAGGCTTCAAGAAGACACAAAATGGCGATAGACGTTGCATTTAAATTTTTGAAGATTGTAGTTATTAGAGAAGCAAGAAATCAGAAGGGAGTTCCACAGGTGGGACGTGCGAATAAAAAAACTATTAGAATAGAACTGGTAGTTACATGTAGTTAGTTCAACAGTAAAACGGTGGAACCTACTTGCCAAACTAATAGCAACGCTTAAATTCATAGAGTCGAGGCACCCGGGTGGGGGGGAGCCCGTCCGAGCAATTATCATGAAGATATATTTGTAGAACAGGCAGAGGGAAGCCAAAATACATAAATGATGGTATTATTAACAGTTTCCTTATAAGGAAACATTCAGCATACAATGACCGAACAGTCAGTGCTACTCCCGGTTAAATTTTATGAAATCTTTCTCTTAAAACAATTTTCAGAAAAATAGGTTTCTAAAGTCCAGTAGCTGTTATAGATCTTTCTAGTTTTGATGGAGGTTTCCTTTCTAACCTTTTGTTTTAAGTAGTGTAGAACATTAACATCTTGATTCTGCCATTTTTTCCTCTTCGAGTTCCATGTGCTATCCATTTTAGTTCCCCCCCTCCCTTCTTGAAAGTCCTCAAGTGATACGGTTTCTGCTATTGGGTACACTTATTTGTTTGTGGCACCAGTCCACAGTGATCCTCGTTAAAACTTATAAGTTTCATTCGTTCAAATCCATTTTCAACCATTGATCTGAAAGCGATTGTATACAGCTAACAGTTTAAAACTTTATGAACAATTTTGGTGCGAAGCATGACATCCATATGAAAATCTCAATTTGATAAGGCTATTAAAAAATATGAATCTAGTTTTTAGGTTAGTGATTTGGTTTAGTAGCAACTTGCGGTATTGGGTGAAACTATATCTAGCATAGTCTATTTTATTTTCAGTTTCCTTATCTCCTGTACTAAATTTATTAGTATCGTTTCTTAAATGATGCATCCTTTCAGAACGGTCATGGCTAAATTAGAGAGGCAAAAATATTTACAAAGAGACACACAGTAAGTTTTATATACACTGGTTGGATGGTTTGGTTTGTTTTGTTTTATGGCATAACAACCTCAATGGGTTTAATTAATACCGACAAGATTTTTTATTATTATGAATTTTTTTTTTTCAAAAATTTATTATTTTTACACTTTCATAGTGTTTTTACCCCCGTTTGGGGGGTTAACAATTTGCCCATAGTTGGGACCCTAACAGGTGCTACCACCCCGGGTTAGTGTGGACCTGGGAACACTAACAATAAGAGGTGGTTCACGCTTCTCAAAAACAAAAGGCCTTGCTGTTGGACGTGGTTTATCGTCTTACCCTGGACGGACACTGAAAGAATTTCTTCTGCTAAAAGGGAATGGTGTAACTGGCTGACACTGAAATCACTCCACGTCATTTCAGCTCTTATCAGCCACCATAGAATTTCTACAGCTCCGATGATGTCATGCGTGCAAATTTGGCTTCATTTCGTGAACTATCATCATAAGACGTGTTCATATTTCAGAGAAAAAATATTTCAAACAATTTTCTCTTTTTATCCCCACTGTCCATTTTTTTTTCTTTGGCCTTTTTTCCATTATGTTGATCGTTAACCGCTTTTGTTTTTAAATCAGTTTTTTTGTCTTAATTTGCTGAGTCATTTACTCCTTTTCGACTTCCTCTTCTTCCTTTCTCCATATAGTTTGATTCTCTACCCTTCTTTTTCTAAATCCTCATTTGTCTCCCTCTCGATCTTTGTATAGTTTGCCTCTCCCCCTCTTCTTTCCTTCACCTTTCTCCCTCCCTCTCTCCTTCCCTCCTATTCTTTCAGTAGTTTAATTCTCTCTTCTTCATCTTCCTCATCCGCGCTTCTCCCCTCCCGTTCTTTCTATAGTTTGCTTTTCCCCTTTTTTTTCCTTAATTTCCTTTCTCTCCCCTCCCATTCTTTCTATAGCCTGCTTATCTCGCCGTCTTTCTGTAGCTAGCTTTTCCCCCTTTATCCTCATCCCCCTTCCTCTTTCCTCTCCCATTCTTTCTATTGCTTTTCCACTCCAATTTCCAACCCTCCTTTCTCACTTCCGTTCTTTCTATAGTTTGATTCTCACCCACCCTTCTTTTTTTACTTATCCTTCGTTTTTCTTTCCTTCACTCCCCTACCCTACTTTCTCTCCCCACCCTACTTTCTCCCCCCACCCCCATATTCCTGTTTTTTTTTCTCTAAATCATCAATTTATTCTATGGCTTTGATTAACATATTTTCTTCCCTTTTGCAGGTAACCACTCTGGCTGATTTCTTCACCGGCGACACTGTCTTCATCGCCTACGGCAGCGAAAAATACTCTAGAGATGATTTTGATTTGGACGAAGGGGGTAAGTTGGGCACGTACCTATTTCGTCGCCTCCATCCCATTTAACTACAAACTCTCGCACAAATCTCGTGTTATTTTCCCCATAAGAAATATTGAACGCCATGATTGGTGGGTAAAATAGGTTCGTAATATTCGTCTCACACTCTTCTCGACATCCATATCTACCATTTCGCCTGACGAAGCTGATTTTTTTAAATCAGTATCACCTCATACAAGGCAGTAAAGTCATTAGGACACAAATGGTTACTGCGTGTGGAAGAATTAGCAAAAGAAACAATAATAATGAACAGGCAGAGTAATCAGGAGGACAGTAGATAGCGATTGACATTGCATTTAAATTGTTGCAGATTAAAGTTGGCTGGGAAGTCGGAATGGAGTTCCACAAGCAACAAATCTAATTTTCTATACAAAGGCTCTCATGATTATACAGACATTTTTTTTTGCAGCTGGAAGTTTCGCATGGACCAAATTCGGAGCCGTTTAAAACTTAATTTAGCAAGTGGCTCAGAAATTCAATCTTTGAGAATTTTGGAGATAGCAAGAAGAGGTTTGTTGAAGTTCCTCTGGCTTTTTTTTTTAAACCAACGTTTGAAGTGTTGAAAGAATTTAAGAAAAAAAACTAGGTTGGATTTCATGAAGGCTCCTGACAGTAAATAAATTACAGACACTGACAGGACAGTACAGTGTTCCCTCGCTAATTCGCGGTTCTACTATCGCGGATTCACGACTTCGTATTATATTTTAAATTATATATATATATATATATATATATATATATATATAAATAATGGAAAATATCGCGAAAATTCTAGAAAAATCGCGATATATGAACACTTAAAATGTTTCATTAAACCCATTCAAATATTAATAAATATTATTTCCTGGTCTAGGAACAACAAAACAAGCGTAAAATAGCAATAGAAAGGGCAACGCCGTCTGAAGAGATGTAAAATACAATTATCGGCTGCACTGTAGAAGTCATCATCAGCTTCATCATCATCATTTCTACTGCGCAGCAAATTCATCACCATCATCATTCAAATTCTACTTCAACTTCTTTCGTGTTGAATACAGTCACAATCTTTATTATTTTTTTTTAAATTTAAAGTGTTATTGCTTAACAGTTGTCCTTGTTATTAATAGAGTACTGTAATGGGTGGGTTGTTAACAGTACAAGGAGGGTTTTAAATGTCCAAATACACGTTAAATAAATACTGTAAATATGGTGTCCCTACTTCGCGGAAATTCACTTATCGCGGCCGGTCTCGAAACCAATCTACCGCGATAAACGAGGGATCACTGTAAAACCCCAGTTTAATGTGAATTCATATATAAAGCAATGGGATCAGTTTATTTAATAGTTTTCCGCTCGATTTGACCTGATATTTTTTTGTGTATGATGACATTTTGAAGACTCCAGTTCTTATAAAAAGGGATAAGAATCACTCTGTACGTTAATCTGAAGGTGTTTGCTCAAAAATACATGATTTGTTTTGAATTATCTCTTTACAAAATGATAAACATGGAAGCAGCAGGCTAGTTTGAATTTAGAATTTTATTCTCTTAGACTGGTTGCCATCCAAGGCTATAGAACCCAATTCGCCCTGCTATTTACCCATAGGTAGAGAAACTAGGTGAATTCATACCCTTTCCTAGGGTTATTAGTACGTAAGCGAAAACGGCTCCCCGATTCTTCAGTCATTATTTTTTTTTTTTATTTGCAGTGTTAAAAAAAAAAAAAAAATAGAACTCTTATTGTTTTTATATATGTTTCTTTCTTTCCTCACAGAAAAGAAGTTGATTGGGCAAAAGTCATTCGATCCAACCGTACTAAAAAAGCTCAATATAAAGTGTGGACCCAGAGATGGTAAGATTAGCAAATTTTTATACACATGCTTGTTCGAAAAGTAATATCGCATTTAATTTGGAATCTGTTGCTTGTTTGTTTTTATGTTCAAGTATAAATTACGAGAATTTATTTATTCATTTTAAACCCTCGCATTATTTATTTAAATTGTTGCAATTATTGTTAGCATTTTTTGTCGACATTTACAAACTCTACTATCCTTACTGTGTTTATATTTACAGTGCTACTACTGAGCATTATATTTTACCAGAATGAATTATATATAGAAATATATATATATATATATATATATATATATATATATATATATATAGTTTGTTGCATGTACGTATTTATATAATGTTTTCATTTTTCAAAACACGGTCAAGATATTGTGTCCATGTTCATAGTTGATATTAAGTGTTGTTTTTGTTTTTATTAATAAGGCTTGCATTATTTTTTTAGACTTTTTTGCATGTTGATGATGCTATTATATTTGTGTTGTCAATACGTATGTTACGAATAGTGTCCGTTAGGTCTCCATGAATATTTAAATAAGATCTAATTGAGCTATTGTCAGAAAGGTGTAGAGTGAGTCTGCGTGTCAAACATGTAGTGTGGCCTATATAATTATTTACAAATTTTGATTGATCAGGAATACAATATAACTTAAAGGAAAGATATGCAAAAAATAGTTTTGTATGTAAAATAATAATACTTAATTTTTCAAGAAAATTAGTGAAAATGTACTGTACTAAATTATGCAGCCTGATAAATCCAACTGTATTTTGTACCTGTTTGCACTTATCTCCAAGATTTCTCTTGTTCTTGAAACCCGGGGTGGGTTGAGCCGGCTCCAATATTGGAGTTCATGGAAATTTGGAATTCACAAGCGGTCCCCAACCCGTATGTATAGCACATGAGATTTGATTATAGCGGTGAAGGTTTCGTGCAGGATCATCCACACTTTTTGAAGGGCCGATTACAGAGACTTGGTGCACGAAGTGCCACAAGGTCCCCAAACGACCCTTCGCAGGTTTTGAATTCAGAGTTTTTTCTTCTCCTAGACCAGTTGGCATCCAAGGCTATAGAACCTAGTCTGTCCTGCTATTTACCCATAGCTGGAGGGAGAAGAAAGAGGATTCACACCTTTCCCAAGTGTGTTAGCACGTAAGTAAATGTAATGGATTCGACTGGAATTCGAACTCAGCTCTCAGATTCCTCAATCCAAGCCGCTATCCATTACTCCACCGTGCCTCCAAGATTTGGTTTCGATTTGTCAATATCTGGCTTTTTTAGAACGTGTGACGGACGGATTAAGTCACAGGTTTTATATATAGATTACTTCAACTGCCGTGGACGTAATTGTACGTCTTTACAAAACTTACATTTCCTGCTGTCGACGTATAAATAAATACGCTTCCATGTCATTCTCGAGCAATTTTTATAGATTAACACTTCGCGCTATTTCTAAACCAGCGAATACAGATAGAAGTATATAATACGACCTTCTTTTTTTATGTATTTCTATTATATTGTGTGCTAGGGGTGTAGTTTAACTTATGTAATTCCGAGGCACGGTGGAGTAATGGATAGCGGCTCAGATTTAGGAATCGGTGAGCCGAGTTCGAATTCCAGTCGAATCCATTACATTCACTTACGTGCTAATACCCTTGGGAAAGGTGTGAATCCTCTCTCCCCCCCCCCACAGACTGGGTTCTATAGCCTTGGATGCCAACTGGTCTAGGAGAAGGAAAACTCTAAATTCAAAACCTGCGGAGGGTCGTTCGGGGACCTTGTGGTACGTAGTGCACCAGGTCTCTGTAATCGGCCCTTCAAAAAGTGTGGATGGTCCTGCACGAAACCTTCACCACTATAATCAAATCTCATGTGCTATACATGCGGGTTGGGGACCACTTGTGAATTCTAAATTCCCATGAAACTCCAATATTGGAGCCAGCTCAACCCACCTCGGGTGAATACAGGTAATTCCGAATATCCGATCGAATCCAAAATGGCGGCGCCCATGAGAAATCTCCGTCAACGTCTTTTATAAAAATTTATTTTCGATAAGTGGCAATTTCCTAATTTACCCAAAACTGACCAGCACAACCCGGCAACAATTCTATAATAATGCAGCAGTGAAAGAGCGAAATATATTTGTAATAAACGCTCACCATTATTAAAAATGACAAACGCGCATTCGAAAAGAAGCTGGGATTAACAGAGACTTATGTCAGTACCTAAATCAATTATTCAACTCCTGGGGGTCTTTGAGCAGTCGGTGGAAACTGGTACATTTTGTCTATTACGTCTGTTTTTCTGAAGATCGACAATTTAGGCATCAAGAAATTCTGTGGCTTAGTTAACGAAAAGTCAGCTTCAGCCTTCATTGTCTTTGTAAAACATAAAAAAGGGAGTGTTTTTTTTTTGTTTTTTTTTTAATGACTCCGAGATTTGTAGAGATTACAACATTATTCGAACACAAGCACCTCGCAATTTGCACGCTTCACTTGCAAACGATTGCTACAGTGCAGGAGACTTCACTCTTCGGTTCGATTTATTTTGTTTTACGGCATATCAACCTCAATGGGTGATTTAATGCCGACAAGATTTTTATTGCTGGTAATATTTTTTTTCAAAAATGTATTGCCGCTAATATATATATATTTTCCAAAAATGTATTGTTGGTAATATTTTTTCTTCAAAAAATGTATTGCTGGTAATGATTTTTCCTCAAGAATTTGTTGCTGGTAATAGTTTTTTTACAAAAATGTATTGCTGGTATTAAAACCTATTGTTACACTTTCATAACGTTTTCATAACGTTTTGACCCCAGGTTTCGGGTTAACTATCTGCCCATAGCTGGGACCCTAACAGGTGCTACCACTCAGGGTCAGGGCGGACCTGGAAATACCAGCAATTACGAGGTGGTTCCATGCTCCTCAAAACCTCCTGATCAAAGGTCTTGCTGTCGGATGTAATTTATCATCTTACCCAGGATGCGGATGTAGTTTGTTTTACCCAGAACGGTTTCACTCTTCACCAAGTGCTCCACACTTGTAGCCTTGTACCAGACAAAGTTAATTATTGCAATGAAATCAAAAGCGTCTATGCAGCCGGGCATGTATTTCTTACTTTTTGGTATTGTTTTCTACAGGGTCAAACACTTGGTGCTCATTTGGTCAAAGTATTGCTATAACACCAATAAAAACCATATATAATTTAGTCACCAGGAACTGTTCTCTTATTCTCCGTGTTGCTTGAGGATGAATATGACGCTCCACAATTTCTTTTCCTTTATAGATCTGAGCAATTTTGTCGTTTTACTCTTTTTGGCACTTCGACGTGGTGTAATGGTTAGTAAGCTTGTCTCGCTAGATCAGTTACGAATGAAGAGTGAGTTCGATCCTCACAGAGTGTCCCATACTTTCGACCTTGTGCCACATCTAAGCTACGCTTAGAAAAATCACCGTTTTGTCATCCATTTACACAAGCTTGTGAGGTAGGATACTCACTATTTCCCCTCTTGTCGTCAATCTGGCCTGTGAATGTCAAATTTTCCAAGTCTTCTTTCCTCATATCTCCTTGAAATTTCAACTCACTGATTTTAAGTATAAATGTCCTTTTGTTTCCATTTTCCTTAAAATTTCCACGTTCCTCACATACTCCAGCCATGATATTCCCAACATCCTTCCGTAAAACCAGATTTCTGTTGCCTCAAGTCTTATTTATCTGTGAAAAAAATCATCCCACATTCACTGTCATTTAAAAGGATTGATATTACATAGCAGTTTAGCACTCTTTGTTTCTAATGAAATGTTCCCGTCTCTAAATACTTTGCTTAGCTTTTGGAAGGCATCTTTCGCTATCCTACGCCTTCGGATTTCAGTGTAGCATAAGACATAGAATACTAATAGTTAATAAAAAATCTATATGGTTAATAGTAACAATTACCCTTTCTTCTAATAAATCTTCACTGTCACTACTCAATTTATCAATGTCTTCATCGGAAGAAATTTAAATCAAAATCGTCATTTTCATCGCTTGAGTTATCTGTTGTTATTGGGGACGGCGCCATCTTGAATTTTTTGGCTTAAATACGTAGTCGATAAAAGCTAAAAATAAAATCTGGTTATGACGCAAGAGTATGTAAATTTGGAATTCCGGATTGTGTCAGAGGATTTCCAAATTACATCACTATCAACCAATCAAATTGCAGAACATTTTGTTGTGGGCGTGTTCTAAAGACATGATCGGAGTTGACAGGGTTGGTGTATATACTACCTCTGAAGCAGCCGATCAGGAGTAGGTCAAGCTTGATTCGGGGCCCTGGACAGTAATTTGTGACCGTCGCTATCATATCAACATTTGTTTTTTTCTACCTACATGTATATGTTACAAATTAAACTAAGCACAACTGATTATTAAAAGGATAAAAAAAAAAATTCACTGATTTTGACGTCATTCTTGGGTCTTTTTTGTTTTTTTCCTCTCCAAATCTGTAAATACTTTTGTTTTGCTCATACTGAGTTTCGAAAAAAAAAAAAAAAAAAAAAAAAAACACTAAAATCACTATATAAAATTCACTAATTCTTATCTATAATGTTGAATGCATTAAAATTATTCCAATTTTCAACAAAAGAAACTCAAGTTGATGTTACAAAAATTGCCGTAAAACATTATTGATTTATTTAAGATGAAAAATCTATTATGATATGTCTAATTTGTATTTAGATACATTGTATTAATTTTCAATTTTTCCAGATGAATTGTTCTACTATATTACATATGATTCTTTATTGTACATAATTAGGTTACAATAAAATTTGTATTTTATATGAATACTACATCAGTGCTTCTCAAACTATCTGATATCGGCATTTTTATTTCTGAATGTGTCACGTACCTGAAATATTAATTGATACCGGAAACAATATAGGTACCTTCGTGAGATCGCTAAAAACAGAGCATAGCATCATGAAAAAGACGCCAAACTTTACGAAAACAAAATTTTAGCG